CCAGGCAAAACAAAACAAAAACAAAAGAAAAACAGCGCACAAGCGCAACGTCTCCAGGTGAATAGAAGTGGTCGCTATGTGACAGACAACAACAACACCGCTCTGCAGCACTGTTCAAAGGATGGAGCCAGAGTTGATCGATCGCCACCGACACAACAGCCTCATGAACTGGGGAGAATAGCCTGCGTGGAGGTCTGGGATCCCCCCCCCCCATCCTCCTACTGGGGAGGGGGAGGTTACGAAGACGGATGCACGGCGGTTGTGGTGACATCATGTTTGTTTCCTTATTTTTGATTGGGGAAGTTCTGTTTGCTAGTTTGGCTTTCGGTTTGCAATTTTTGACCAGCAGTAGTTTGTTTTGGAATTCCTACCTTTCTGGGTGCCTGACCTGGTAGATGGCAGACAATGACTACTTCCAATTACACGGGGGTGTCTTTAGGCCATTGCTCCTCATGCCTCTTCTTGAGGGGGGGAAGCTAGGTTCTGGCTCTGGTCTCCGGTTGACCTAGAACTCCACTGATTGACTGCTGCCACGGTCTAATATATGCACATCAGCCCGGTATAGCTCCAGGGACTCAAAGGGGCTCTCCAAAGAAGAGGCATTGACAGAGCAAGCGCCGGAGGCGGTCAGCTCTGCCCGAACTGTCATGCAGGAGTTGCCACAAGGATATTATTACCTAATTATTTAAATGTCACTGATTAATTTTTTATTTTTTTTTTGCAGTAATATTATTTAATAGTGGGTAGTGTGATATATTTATATATTAAAATGTGTGAATCATCTCTATGCTCAAATATATTGTGATCATTTTAGTGATTCAATTATTATGTTCATAAAACAATAAACAAATATAGTGGTACCTCAGATTACGAGCGCCCCCATGGTTATAAGTTTTTCTCGTTACGAGCAGGAATTGCTCGGAAATTTTGCATCGGGATACGAGTGTAATGATACGCGTACAGGCCGACGAAGAACGGGTGGCACGACAATCGCCTCTCAGTTTACCAGTGCCTCGCACCCAGTGACTATCCCACCTGAATTCTTCACCAGGATTTACAGTGTTTTGTTGGATATTTGGCAATTTGAGCATAAAAGTTGTTATTATATATCACGCCATGGGTCCCAAGAAAGCCAGTGGTAAGGTTCAACCTAAGAAAATAGTTGTGAGTAGAGGCAGTAGAGGATGTCACTTCCTCATTAAGAAAATGTGTGAAGTATGGAAAGAACTGCAAAGTTTTGTTGAAAAAACTCACCCAGATAAAGCTGTAACAGGCTGTTGCATTGACCTTCTAAATGACAATGTGATGTCTTACTACAGACAAGTGTTGCAAAGAAGGGAAAAACAATCTTCAATGGATCGTTTCGTTGTGAGAAAATCAAGCAGTGAGCCACAACGAGGACCTAGTGGTATGCAGGCAAAACGTGCCAGAGAGTGCACTCCAGAAAAATCTTTACTGCCTGATGTTATAATGGAAAGGGACTCCCCTTCCAAACAGTAACACCTCTGCTCCTCCCCCCCCTCCTCACCATCTTCCATACACCAACAGCAGTCATCAGCAAGGGTAAGTAATAACTTGAACATACTTTTGTAGTGTAGATTTTGATGAATTAGGTATAAAATTTAGTTTGAAGTGAGGTTTTTGGGTAGTCAGGAATTGATTAATTAATTGATTTCCCATTATTTCTGTTGGGTAAATTAGCTTTGGTTTACGAGTTTTCGGGTTACAAGCCGTCTCCAGGAACAGATTAAACTCTTAAACCGAGGTACCACCTGTAGTTTTGCGGTTATTACACTATATATACACACTATATATAAATATCTACATGTTTTGTTCACCATAACTGTTCAACTAAGCTGGTACAGTGCCCAAAGAGCACAGTAGCCACCCTTACACAGCATGACAAGTCATGCAGATGACGCCATCTCCCTTACCAAAATGGCTTCTCCCAACACGCCTCTTGCTGTTATTACACTATATATACACGTTATATATAAGTATCTACATTTGTGTTCACTATAGCAAACCACTAAGCTGGTATAGTGAGTGCAGACATTAACAGGTGGCCACACTGATTCGGCAGACGACGCTACAGCCCTTCAACCCTCAACATTACTCCTCCCACAGAGCAGCGCAAATTATCAGAACAATTCTGCTATTATCAGAATCCTGGTCATTTTTATCACAGTCAGGAGTCTTCTGTAATACTATCACTAAATAATACCCGTTACATATAATTTTTACATTTTTTGGTGATGTTGTGGTCACAAGCTGAACAGTAGTGCTGTGAGCTCATGCTGCATGCGCCAGCCTTGGTGGCTCACTCAGTACAGAGGCTTTCACACCCGGGAATGTTGCCCCACGATTTTTTTTTAAATGGCGTCTGTTTACAAAAGCCTTGAGGAAGCTGATGTGAACCCTGTGTGTAGCTGCAGGCCATTTAAATCTTGCGCGGTACTCCAAAACATCATATGAAGGGGTGCGCACTTTCGCGTCAGTTACTCAATACATCATATGAAGTGTTGCACAGTTTAAGAGTAAATGACATCACCAGGCATGATGGTCAGTTTGACAAAGTGAGGAGAAAATTGTAATATAAGCCATTGACAGCAGATCATCATCATTCTAAGTAACTCAAACAGTGTTCGGTGACAGACGCTCTAGAGATACCACAGATCTTAAACACCCTCGACATTCATGAGCAACAATGTAACATTTGTCGAGTCCAGTTCCTACTCTCACAAGACACTTCAGCCTTGCTACAGAGCAGACAGCCAGATTCTGGCTGTATCTGAGCTTCCAGATCTCGTCCTGCATTCGAGCTCTTCAATCTCTCAGCATTTGAGTTCCATGCTCTAACCCCGCATCCGAGCTTTCTACCCATGGCCTCACTCAAGCTCTTTGTTTTCTGCTCCAGGCATTGTCTCAGCTGTCACAATGCACCATTCCATTGCCAACAATGGACTGCTGTATCCAAGCCTATATTAAATAAATATAAAGAGCCACTAAACTCTTTGAGTTTTTTCACCCAAACTTGTATACTTAAACAAACGTTACATTTTTGTACTTGTGGTGTTACTTTACACAATAGTAGGAATAGGGGTGTTCAGATGTTTGTCCCAGAGACAGCTGGCAATATTTTGGTGATTAACTCCCTTGGTGTGCAATGATTTAATCATATTGGTTGGCCTGGGCCACGTGTTTGGTTAGTGGATGTTAGCCACCATGCCTAAGTCCACGTTTATAGTAAAGATAACTGTGTAATAGAATCCAGGAAGTACATTCTTCAGGTGTACTAGTTTATGTTGTGAATAATTGGAGCTTGTGGATATACTGTACTTGATTGTTAAGTGGGTCCAAGTTTTAGGACTTATTTTTAGGACTTACAAGGTTTAAATGCAATAAATAACATCATACTCATCAGTCTTACTGCGACAAGAAAACATTGTCTTTGGTTGAGTTTATGATAAATATTACCTATTATTCTTTCTGCTCCAAGTTAAACACTCTGGTTTGATTAAAGACCTATTGTGCCTTTTTGTTGTAATCATTTTACAAAATGATTACAAGTCCTGTTTCAATAGTGTTTGCAAACTACAACCACGCTCTTGATATATCTTGTACCTTTAAGTTTAAGACTATAGAAATAAATCCCTGTATGATTTCAGAAACTATTATTTGCAAAAGCCCTTTTTCCCAATATAGATGGCCCTATCTTACTGTATGAAATACAGTATAACCCCTATAAGGTATGTCCTGAAATAACCTGGTACAACACTGAGTTTTAATGTCATCTGAGGAGGTTTACTAAAGCCCTAGTGATCATTATATTTATTCTCCCTTTCTTTATTAAGGATGAGTAGATAGAAGCTTGTGCATTAAAACATTGCAGCAGCAGATCGAGGAGAGTTCTATAACTTCCCAACATGAGACAAAAAGGAAACAACCCGCACTAACGTAAATGTGGGTAAACGTACCCCAAAATCCACACCAACCTCTGGCCTGGAAAAATGCAGTAAAGGTAGATGCAAGCTGTTACCAGACCATGAGCTGGAAATGAACCTTCATGTTCCCATAATTATACACAAACCCATTTGCCCTAATTACTGAGCCCTGCAAAGGAGCTTAGGCATAGATTTAAACTAACTATACAAAGCTGCCAAAGAAATATAAGATAATTCACTTTCACAAACAATGGCAGACTGCTGGAACCTGTTAGGTGAGGTGGTGGAGGGCAAACCCGTCAATAGTTTCAAAGTGTTATATGACAGGGTGTTGGGAAGACGAGATGCCACAAGTGTAGCTCTCCTCCTGTAACTACACTTAGGTAATTACTTATGTAATTATACCCTCTGGCCAGGTCTAAGCTCATCAAGAAGAGGAAAAATTTCAAGGGCTCAGACTTCTGAACCTACTCAATGAAGACAGGCATAGCTTAGGCATAGATTCTTAGACCAGATTCTTCAAAAGGTAGATGTAACACAAACAAGGAGCAACAATTTCAAGCTCAACAAGCTGCAATGTAGGACTGAGAACAGGAGGAACTTTTTCAGCCACAGGATTATAAACCCATGTAACTGCCTACCCACCAAAGCTGTAAATGCCAAAACTCTTAAATTTTAAAGTCAAACTGGAAAATATCATCAGGACAAATGGGGGGACCTTCGACAAGCCGCTAGCTTCCTGTCCTCGTTGAGGCCAGTAGCGTTAGTGGCTCTCAGGTAAATCATGTAAATCAAGACAGTCCAAGAACAATACCAGCAGCTAGGTGAACAGAAGCATATGATGTAAGGAAATGTTGCCAATTGTCTCGCCCTGATTGAAAAACAAGCACATGATCAATTTTTTTGTAAAACTGGCTGCTAACCAGTGTGTTATACAATACCTCTTAATATTAAAAGCAAAGCATTGTTATACTTATAAAATCATCTAGGGACTAAGTCTAAATTTATGCAATTTATAACGTTCAAGCTGCAAAGTACACATCACATGGTACTCACCCTGCCGACCAAACTCTCGGCGGAGCCCACAACCTCAGAATAAGGTCTGGACACACTTCTGGGACTGCTGGGAACACTTTGGGAGTGGCGGTCCCCTGGAAGGCTTCCATTACTCTCACTGAGAGAGGTCGCTGAAGGAAACAATAATTATTTGTATTTGGTTGACAGACTTTATCAACAACCCAACCTACATGTGTATATGTGTATGTATATGTATGTAACAAGAAGATTTACAATATATATATATATATATATATATATATATATATATATATATATATATATATATATATATATATATATATATATATATATATATATATATATATATATATATACAGTTGAGCTTCGAGTGATGAGTGGCTCCAGTTACGAGCATTTCGAGTAACGAGCAAGCCACTCGCAGAAAATATGTCTCGACTGACGAGCTTTCTCTCGACAAACGAACGTTCCCGCTGGTTTTCGGACACCTCCGACGACAGTTTTGTTGCTGTTTCACAAGACGAGTTTTTCACATGACAAGCTCGGTGTCGAAATGGATTAAACTCGTTAATCGAGGCACCACTGTATATATACATATATATATATATATATATATATATATATATATATATATATATATATATATATATATATATATATATATATATATATATATATATATATATATATATATGTCGTACCTAGTAGCCAGAGCGCACTTCTCTGCCTACTATGCAAAGCCCAATTTGCCTAATAAGCCAAGTTTTCATGAATTAGTTGTTTTTCGACTACCTAACCTACCTAACCTAACCTAACCCAACTTTTTCGGCAACCTAACCTATAAAGATAGGTTAGGTTAGGTTAGGTAGGGTTGGTTAGGTTCAGTCATATATCTACGTTAATTTTAACTCCAATAAAAAAAATTGACCTCATACATAATGAAATGGGTAGCTTTATCATTTCATAAGAAAAAAATTAGAGAAAATATATTAATTCAGGAAAACTTGGCTTATTAGGCAAATCGGGCCTTGCATAGTAGACCGAGAAGTGCCTTCTGGCTACTAGGTACGACATATATATATATATATATATATATATATATATACATACAATGGGGCCTCGACTTACGATGCTAATCCATTCCCAGAGACAGATCGTAAGTTGAAATATCGTAAGTTGAAGCGATTTTTCCCCTAAGAAATAAAGCGAATTGAATTAATCCGTTCCCACCCTCCAAAATATTAACATACAAATACATTTTATACTGAATACAATGTTTTTTTCTACCTACAATACAATACCAAAGTATCTCTTACCTTTATGGAGGGCTCTTGATGGCGTATGGAAGATGGTGATGAGGGGGGAGGAAGAGAGTTGTTCCTGTTTGGAAGGGGGAGTCCCCTTCCATTAACACAGGCAGTAATGTTTTCTCTAGGGTACTCTCTCCTACGTTTTGCCTGAATACCACTAGGACCTGGTTGTGGTTCAGTGCTTGTTTGTCTCACTACAAATTTGGCAAGAGACATTTGTTTTTCCCTTCATTTTAACATTTGTCTGTAATGATGCATCACAGTGTCATTGAATAGGTTAGGGCAATGACCTACTGCAGCTTGATTTTGGTGAGTCGTTTCAGCAAAGGTTTGCAATTCTGCCCATGCTGAATACATTTTCTTAATTGTTGAGGAAGAGACATTCTGTACTCTTGTTTCTGCTCTATGGTCATCCTTACATGGGTTTTCACATGTTGAGCCTTACCACTGACTTTCTTGGGACTCATGGTGTGATATATAATAATTATTTTAATGTTCAAAATGCAAAAAATCACCACAAAAGCGGAATTTCCTATAGGCGCGATCGTCACTAAGTAGGCAGCTGTAGTAAACTGAGGCAGGTCGGCCGCGTGACTGGGAACCACGCGCTCGGTCGACCCGAACGTGTACCAACAAATATCGTGAGTCGACGACACCATCGGATGTCGAGTCGCATTTTTCTATGAAATTTACATCGTAACTCGAAAATATTGTATGTAGGGGCAATCGTATGTCGAGATGCCACTGTATATATATATATATATATATATATATATATATATATATATATATATATATATATATATATAGGGGTGGTAGGGAGAAGAAAATATCAAAGTGTTCAGAAAGGATCCACAAGGTCTACTCTGAGTACTCTTTATTTTCTTCTCCGAGGCTATGGGTCCCTACACTTGCACCAGAGGTGCTAAATGCATATATATATGCACCAGAGGTGTTACATACACACACACACACACATATTTATATATATATATATATATATATATATATATATATATATATATATATATATATATATATATATATATATATATATATATGCCCGAAACGCTTTGCGTAATAGTGGCTTTAGGCATTGTATGTACTAGCTCTACCTATAAGTCAACCAATCTTTTAAAAATTTATTGTATGTATGTACCTTACCTAAATAAACATTTTATTTTATATATATATATATATATATATATATATATATATATATATATATATATATATATATATATATATATATATATATATATATATATGTCGTACATAATAGCCAGAATGCAGTATTCGGCCTACTATGCAAGGCCCGATTTGCCTAATAAGCCAAGTTTTCCTGAATTAATATATTTTCTCTATTTTTTTCTTATGAAATGATAAAGCTACTCATTTCATTATGTATGAAGTCAATTTTTTTTATTGGAGTTAAAATTAACGTAGATATATGACCGAACCTAACTAACCCTACCTAACCTAACCTATCTTTATAGGTTAGGTTAGGTTAGGTAGCCGAAAAAGTTAGGTTACATTAGGTTCGATAGTCGAAAAACAATTAATTCATGAAAACTTGGCTTATTAGGCAAATAGGGCCTTGCACAGTAGGCTGAGAAGTGCGTTCTGGCTACTAGGTACGACATATAGATATATGTATATATATATATATATATATATATATATATATATATATATATATATATATATATATATATATATATATATATATATATATATATATATATATATATATATATATATATATATATATATATATATATATATATATATATATATATATATATATATATATATATATATATATATATATATATATATATATATATATATATATATATATATATATATATATATATATATATATATATATATATATATATATATATATATATATATATATATATATATATATATATATATATATATATATATATATATATATATATATATATATATATATATATATATATATATATATATATATATATATATATATATATATATATATATATATATATATATATATACATACGGTGGCACCTCGACTTATGATTGCCCCTACTTACGATAATTTCGAGTTACGATGTAAATTTCATCAAAAAATGCGACTCGACATCCGATGGTGTCGTCGACTTCCGATATATGTTGATTCACTTTCGGGTCGACCAAGCGCGTGGTTCCCAGGCACGCGGTCTGACCTGCCTCAGTTTACTACAGCTTAGTGACGATCGCGCCTATAAGAAATTCCGCGTTTGTGGTGATTTTTTGCATTTTGAACATTAAAGTAATTATTATATATCAATATATCACACCATGAGTCCCAGGAAAGTCAGTGGTAAGGCTCAACATATGGAAACCCATGTAAGGATGACCATAGAGCAGAAGCAAGAGTACAGAATGTCTCTTCCTCAACAATTAAGAAAATGTGTGCAGCATGGGAAGAATTGCAAACCTTTGCTGAAACGACTCACCAAAATCAAGCTGCAGTAGGCCGTTGCCTTAACCTATTCAATGACACTGATGCATCATTACAGTATAGACAAATGTTAAAATGAAGGGAAAAACATATGTCTCTTGACAAACTTGTAGTGAGACAAACAAGCACTGAACCACAACCAGGTCCTAGTGGTATTCAGGCAAAACTTAGGAGAGAGTACCCCAGAGCAAACATCACTGATTGATGTGATAATGGAAGGGAACTCCCCTTCCAAACAGTAAGAACTCTCCTCCTCCCAACTCATCACCATCTTCCATACGCCATCAAGAGCCCTCCATAAAGGTAAGATCAACTTAGGTACTGTATTGTAGTTAGAAGAAAACATTGTATTCAGTATAAAATGTATTTGTATGTTAATATTTTGGAGGGTGGGGAACGGATTAATTCAATTCCCTTTATTTCTTATGGGGAAAATCACTTCGACTTACGATCCGTCTCTGGGAACGGATTAGCATTGTAAGTCGAGGCCCCATTGTATATATATATATATACTGTGTATATATGTGTATATATGTGTGTATATATATATATATATATATATATATATATATATATATATATATATATATATATATATATATATATATATATATATATATATATATATATATATATATATATATATGGCTGAAAACTCACACCCCAGAAGTTTTATCCGGCCGTGATGGTCAAGCGGATTAAGGCACCCTGTAGTTACCAGTTGCGTTGCTCCTGGGAGTATGGGTTCGAGTCACTTCTGGGGTTTGAGTTTTCAGTCGCATATAGTCCTGGGGACCATTCAGGCTTGTTTGCATATATATATATATATATATATATATATATATATATATATATATATATATATATATATATATATATATATATATATATATATATATATATATATTAGTATATTTTGGTAGCAGTCTTTCCTGTAGACATATATTATTAAATATGACCGAAAAAGTAAGATTAATAATTCTAACACGAATTTTTTCAATGTTTCTTATATTTCTTTTCACTGTTGATGATAACTGAAAAATCAATTCTCCAAAATTCATTTTTATTTCTAGTCTGACACGACACTTGAACACGTTTCGTAAAACTTATTACATTTCAAAGACTTTAGTTTACACACACACAACTATAACTGAACAGAGTTTAAACAGCTTCGATTTTATACCTGCATTTGGGTGAGGTGATATGTTACAACAGTTTTGGATGAGGTGAAAACAAACTTTCAACACAAGACAGATCACGAAACAATGGGTATAATATTTTGTAAGTTAAAGGGAAGAATGGAAGTAACTGCAAAGGGCCTATTGGCCCATATTTCTTGATGCTTCTATATTGGTGCGGAGTCTTGAAGTGGGTAGAATATAGTTGTGCATTAATTGGCTGTTGATTGCTGGTGTCAACTTCTTAATGTGTAGTGCCTCGCAGATATCAAGCCTTGATATCTGCCTCGCAGATATCAAGGCTAGAAATATAGAAATATAGAAATGACTAGAAATATAGTTGTGCATTAATTGGCTATTGATTGCTGGTGTCGACTTCTTAATGTGTAGTGCCTCGCAGATATCAAGGCTTGATATCTGTGAGGCACTACACATTAAGAAGTCGACACCAGCAATCAACAGCCAATTAATGCACAACTATATTCTACCCACTTCAAGACTCCGCACCAATATAGAAGCATCAAGAAATATGGGCCAATAGGCCCTTTGCTGTTACTTCCATTCTTCCCTTTAACTTACAAAATATTATACCCATTGTTTCGTGTTCTGTCTTGTGTTGAAAGTTTGTTTTCACCTCATCCAAAACTGTTGTAACATATCACCTCACCCAAATGCAGGTATAAAATCGAAGCTGTTTAAACTCTGTTCAGTTATAGTTGTGTGTGTGTAAACTAAAGTCTTTGAAAATGTAATAAGTTTTATGAAACGCGTTCAAGTGTCGCGTCAGACTAGAAATAAAAATGAATTTTGGAGAATTGATTTTTCAGTTACCATCAACAGTGAAAAGAAATATAAGAAACATTGAAAAAATTCGTGTTAGAATTATTAATCTTACTTTTTCGGTCATATTTAATAATATATATATATATATATATATATATATATATATATATATATATATATATATATATATATATATATATATATATATATATATATATATATATATATATATATATATATATATATATATATATATCTTATTTTGGGAGCAGGTTTTTTCTAACACATGCATAATTAACACAACAGCATTGTAATAATTGTTAATTTTCTTATGGATACTTTCCATTCTATGTAAATATCTTCTACCATAACGAGGGTGAAGAAACACTATATCACTTAATCTTTTCATTTTATTTCTTTGATATTTCGTCAGCAATGTGACATCTTCAGAAATATACGCTGTACACTAAACATACAGGCATATTAAGCTTACATGCAGAAACAGATATTTATATGTGTGTGTGGTTCACCTCACCCTACTATTCACTTATCCTTCTTAATCATGGAGAGTGCTGAAGAAATAGGGTGAGGTGATTGCTGCCTAACTTCAAAAAATTATTATCTATATGTATATTGCCTTACCTGTGTATCAGTGAAGGGCCATCTAACAATTGTATGCTTGAAGTCGAATTCAATCTGAATGTTGATTACTGGTATCAGCTCTTGAACGAACACGGTCTCAAGTGTTTGGATTCGTGATGTGTCTAATATAACATACATTTCAAATGGCATAGTGTCCAGAACTGCATTTGTATTGATATTATTATATTAGTACACTTCAGGGAGAACTAATTATGTAATTGTTGATTATGGGAACTGACATCAAAGCTCAACATTCAGATGAAATGGACTTCAAGCATACAATTTTTTTATGGTCATCCATTGACCCAGAGAGACGATATCAGACCCAGTAGACCACTAGAAGCTGAAGTCAGGCATCAACCACCTCACCCTATTCTTCATCACTCCCTATGATTAAGGAGGTTAGGCGAGTTGTAGAGTGAGGTGAACCCAGACTTATCTATGCTTCTGCATTTAAGCTTAGTATACCTGTGTCTTCTGAACATAGTGTGTATTCCAGATGATGTCACACTGCTGACAAAATGTTGAACAATACAATGGAAAGATTAAGTGATCTAGTGTGTCCTCACCACTATGATGATAGCAGGTATTTACATAGAAGGGAAAATATCCATAACAAAATTACCAATAATAATTTTTTTTTACTGTGTTTAATGACATAAATATATATATATACATACACATAGAAATATTACAGGCCCATAACTATTAACATATGTAATTAATGTTATTTATTTATTAATTGTATAACGCAGTGCAAACTGTAGGACAATAAAAGGCTTGATCAGATGGAAATGAAAGTCAGAGGCGAATAAACTAATGACTATTGAAATGTTTAGTGTTCCAGAAGTATATGATATGATCTACTCTAGCAAAATATCTACCATTTTTTTAATGATATCTTGATTCTAAATTATTAACAATGTATGCTACAATAAAAGCACAAAAACAAAGCAGACAACAAAGGAAGAGTCTGCTAGAGTTGCCAAAGTCAAGAGCCACAGTCAGGAAGCTGTAGGAGACCCTTCAGTAATCTGGGGTCAGGAAATTGTGTATTATTATCACTGACATTTATTATTTCAGCAGTTACACTGCAATCATAAGTGGTAAAAATATGAAAATAAAATGTGCAAAATTCATAATCACTGAAAATAGACAAATCAACAAAGGTTTTGCAGAAAAATTGCTTTAAAATGATTGCAATCAACTTCTTGTGTCTACTAAGCATGCAGTTAAGTGGTGTGAACTTGTGCCTTATGTGTACTTATCCATACCTACACATGACTTGCTTTATTGGAGATGTTAGTACAATATTTAACAAATGACAGTACAAAGGGATTACATTCAGCAATTATCAAAACTGTGGTAACATACGCACCAAAGTAACAGTATTTGGGAGAACACGCCCAGTAAAGTGACAATAATAAGGGAACATCCAACTGCAGCTAAACTGGGTAAAAATTCCCAGCAATATATATATAGAACCAATAGTACTTACAGATTTACGACAAAGGCACAAGTACTCCCGAGAGATAGTAGAAGAGAAGAGAGTTACCTAAGAGAGAGAGACAGAAGGGGAGTGGAGGGGGCACAGCCATTACGGGGGTGAGGGAGTCCGGACACCCCCACAGAACCACAGCATACGTCCCAGTCTAAGGCACCAGCAAATACACCAGCAGAAGGCGAAGACAGCTTAAGAGTTGACACTGATGATGGAAGAACACAGTGGTGGAGATGGTGATGGTGAAGGTGAAGGCTTTGGTGAAGATTGTGAGAGGGCTGTGGTGGAGTTTGTGGAATCTGATGTTGATGATGGGATAGTAGTTGCACTTCTTGATGGAAATCATGGTGATGGTTGTGGTCAGATTCTTCAGGCAAAAGACGATGATATTGATAAATTTGTTGATAATGATGGCGATGGTGGTGATTGTGTTCAAACTGTGGAACTTGTGGTAAATGACGATGGGGTTGGTGCTTATGGTGTTGGTCATGAAAGTTGTGATTATAGAGGGAGGTGTGGCAGGATGTTTGGTGTGAGGAACCATACTGAGGGAGACTGTGCGTGGAGGCAGCCACCTCAAACACACTGGATGACAGCTCAGACTGGTCCTCAAGATGGAAAGGGGCAAGGGTAGTCTCAAGTTCAGAGTCAGAGTCAGAGCTGGATGGATGAAAATTGTCGAGGGAACGGTGAAGGGAAATGTTGGGTTGGCGTGGAGGGGCACGGAGGGAGCGGCGGTGGAATGGTATGTGGGGCTGGCAAGGAGGAGTACGGGGCAGGACTCTAGAGGAAACATAAGGAAGGGTGACACAGGGGCGTAGAGATGCCATGTGCTGGAGCAGTGCCCGCACTGACAACAGCTGGCTGAAGGGATCTTCGTGCCCTGGAGAGGATTGAGCTGCCTGACTAGGGGGAGCAGGAAGGACCAGGAGACCACCACTGGAAGGCCTGGGGTGGTGCTCCTTGCGGGCGGAGGCTGGGGTGGTGGGGCATGACAGATGATGCCCCCTGGGGCACAGGGTGTGCGGGGTACCTCGGCCGTGGAACGAGGCACGCAGACCCCGTCTGAATGGTGCTGAACCAGTAGATGACTGATGCACGATGCCTGCCACAGCCAAGGCTTGAGCATGAGCTAGTCGCAGCCCATCGGCGATGTTGCTGAAGCTACGAGACTGAGCGTCCTGGCGACCAATGCATCCTAGTCCCCAGGAGTGAGTGGAGGTGCGGCGGGGGGGTGGCGTGGGGGGCTGCGGCCCGTCACTCAACTCCTCATCACTCAGGCTACACACAGTGAAGCACTATTAGTCAACAGTCAGCAAGAAACACAAACAAGTATCAGCAGGGGAGTAGTTTACACTCCCATGCTACAACTAGCGACACTAGTGTTAGACAAGCAGGCAGCACACCAACCAGTAACCCCAAAAAATTTATTCCAATAACACACTTGTTTGGTAACCCCAGGAAATCATAGCAGCCGTGTGAGCAAATCAGCAGCAGCCCGGGTGATGCAGGGGAAGAGATGGTGTTAGTTGGCACTCAAGCTTGTGTTATAAATTATGGCCATGAAGGAAGTGCAACACCAGCTCATATATGTTTGCTCTCTTCTATTATATAGACATTGCAAATTTAAGGGCTGAAGTTTCAAGAGATGAAAAGTAAAAAACCAGCATTTAATGTAATGAAACGCCATTTTCTGGGTAAGCCCCGGTGGCTCCCTGCAGCTTATCGGGTTAATATATGTTATATTAGACCAGAATATTAGCTAAAGAGTTCAGACCTACCAGGGACCAGCGCCAGAAAATGGCCCCTTTAGAGAGGTGTTAGGGAGCAATAGCCTTGGAAAACCCCCTTGTGGTTGGGGTTTTCCTTATCTGCCATCAACTGGGGTCAGGCACCCAGAAAGGTAGGCATAACAAAACAAACCCCACATGGTAAAAAACTAAAACAAAAAACCGAACAGAGAGGTAGAAACTCCCTACAATCCCAAGGAAACAAGCAAACATCACACTTTACTGCCGCGCCAATCATCTGCGCATCCCTTCCCGCCCCGAGAGGGGGAGGGGGAAGCCCCGGACCTACTGCGCCGGCTGCCAAGCTTCAGTTCGGAAGCTAAGCTTCAACCAACGCGAAAAACCCGCCGACCGGTGGGAGGGAGGGTTGCCAGGGAGCCTCTAGGGCTCACCCAGAAAATGGCGTTTCATTACATTCAACGCTGATTTTCTGTGGGGAGCCCCTACGGCTCCCTGGAGCTTCATACCCAAAGAGAAGGAAAAGAAAGAGCTAACCTAGGAGGCGGCCACCACATACTCCGCAACGTGAAGCCGAGACAACAGGATGCAACCTGCGACCCAAGGCAACAAGAACGCACAGGAGCAGACGCGCATAAAGAATGGGCGGCCAAGAACCTGTGCGACCCTCAAATCCCTGCGCCCAAAATGAGCCCTAGACGTCACCAATACAGCAACAAAAGCTGCAAACGTCCGAACAGCACGGGCGCAAGGACAGACCGCAGGCTGGAAGACTGAAAAACTCTGCAGATGACCTGGGAGACCCGAGCCTTAAAAACAGGGAACGAGGGGAACCGGATCAAACCAAAGCACATCCCCAGACACGGTACGCTGGTACCAGACAACACAGGATGCACCCCCGGCCAAACCAATCAAGCATCAATAACCCAAGAACCCCTCCGGAAAGCAGCCGTCTCGACCGTCGCCAAGACGGAGAAAGGCTGCAAATGTACAAACTTACCACCAGTACCAAAGAGCAGAACCTGAACCGAAGGGGCTACCATAAACTGAGGAGAAGATAAGAAGGCACCCTGATCAAGGATCAGGATGGCTCAGGTGATGTATGAGCAGACCAGGGGTGAAACAAAACACGAGAATGCGTACGAAACGGGGCAGATGTGACGTCCACACCAAACGCAAGCCTGAGTGGCTCCGCCAGTGCCGCACAAAACGAGGCGACAGTAAGAAACATCACATAACTGTAGTCCTGAAAACCCAAGAAAGGACAAGACAACCCGATGAGAAAGAGAAGACAACCTACGAAGAGCAAGAAAAAGTGCATAGAAACACCAGGAATGTCATACTGTCGCCAAGACGAAGCTCGCAGGTGGGACACCGTCACCAAAGCCACCTGATCACCACAGAGATAGTGATACCCGCGTCAAAATACCAGACGCGAAAAGCCGAGGAGAAGGCCGAAAAAGTCACGTACAGGACCGATCCGACCTGCCGAAAGAGGCGAAGCCGCGGGAAAACGCCCCGGGTTTGGACACCTATCAAGCAGCGTCTGATAATAAAACTGGGCCGGCCACCAAAGAACCATAAGGACTGCTCTCGTGGGAATAGGCTTCAACCGAGCCAGAACTCGAAGCAATAGCTGGACCGGGAGAAGAGGAACAGGTACCCCCACCTCGACCAGTCCTGCCAAAAAGCATCCACCGTGAACGCCTCACAGGCGTTTAAGGGAGCCTTATAAAATGGGCGACGCCTAAACCACGCCGACTCGAAGACGTTTAAGACCAGGAGTCCATACGTCCGGCAGAGCCAACAAAACGAGTCGGCGACGACTGGCCAATCTGTGAACAGAGGAATGAACCGAGACAGCTGTCCGCCAGGACGCAGGACACCCCCCCCCCCGGGACATGAACCTCACAGTTAGCCAAACCCTGAGAATCCAGCAAACGAGCCACTCTAAGGAACCAATCCCAAAGGTCAACACCTAAGAGAAACCCTGTGGTTCCGGCAAAGAACTGCCAGAGAACAGTCCGAATGAAGCTGAATGGTAGAGCACCGAGTGACCCAAACCCTCCGAAGCGCAGACCAGACAGCCACGAACTCCCGAACTGTGCTATGAGCCCAACGGATGGACAGACCCCACCATCCCTGGCCGACCTGGTGAACATTGGTCACAAAGCCCCAGCCGAGCGATGACCCGTCCGTGAACACATTGAGCGAAGGCCCGGGAAGGTGCCAAGGCATGGAACCTCGAATACCCCAAAGAGGAAGCTGGTGACGCAGCACCAACACAAGATCCTCGGAGGAACGAACCCAACGATTGCAAGAGAGGCGGAAGTGGAGTCTCCAAAGGAACCAAACACCGAAGCCAAACCCGACCCCGTGGGCAGACCAGCACGTCGAAGTTCAGAGTCCCGCACAAATGCTCAAGCAACCGCTGAGCAACCCGGGACCCTTCATGAACAGCCGAAGGCGGGAACACAGCCGCAGCAACACTTCTGGAGGGAAAGACAAGGAGTGGCCCAAGAGCCCTAAACAAGGCCCAGCCAGGTCCGAACTCGGGACGGAAACAGATGGAATGACCTCCAGATCACCAGGAAACCAAACCCGGCGATCTGAAAAGAACCACACCCCTGGTGAGCAGATAAGCGAACCGACTGGGAGCCCACACCAGCCAGTTGTCGAGGTAAGCCAGACACCGAATCCCAAGCAGACTCAGACAGGGCACCAAGATCCGGTAAAGATGCAAAAATACACCAAGTGCCAATTACAAAATAGGGAAGGCAACAAAAGCGGCAAGCCTGAAGCCCCACCACCAACTTTGCCAGTCCCGGAAAACTGGAGAGGAATGTGCCAAGAATTGACCTAGAGATTCAGGGCCACCATCCAGGCACCCGGCCCCAACAGAAGCCAGACAGGAGACAACAGTCCTTCGATGAGGGCATAGAATCCAGGGCGCAGACTGAAGAAGTTCAGAAGAACTGCAGATTTGACAGGCCCATGTCTGCAAAGAGCAGACGGGAACCCCAAAAGGATGGGGCGGATTGACCACGTCCAACGCACCCACTAAGATGACATGACGAAGGGCAGGAGAAGAAGCCCACCCCGCCAGCCCTGAACCCCCCAAAGGGGGAAAAGCTGTCCACAGCCGCCACCAGAGGCCGGAAGACAACCAAAAGCGCCCACTAACTGCGGGACCATGCAAGAGTCAAGAGAGCAAGCTGCTTCCCCAGCGCCTCGTCAACAGAGAAAGGAACAGAGCCCCTTCCGAAAGAAAAAGTACACATACACATATACACATATATACAAGGTATGTTACACACATGTGTGCATGCACATACACACACAGTGTACACATGTACATGTGTACACACACATACACGTGAAAAGAAAATTACAAGCTGCCAACCAGTGGGCAGAGAGCACCACACTGGCCAGGCGAAGAAGGCACAAAACTGCATCAAAAAGCCCACCTTGACAACAAAACCTCAAAGTCCCAGCATGACCACAACACGTGCCAAGACCCAAAAAGATCAATCTGCAAGCTAGCAAGACCCCGGAACTCCAGAAGGCAGAACCGGGTCACACATAAGGAAACAAAGCCCCCTGAACTCACAAAGGGGGCCCAAGAGGAAGAAACCATCGGAACGAAACCAAAGAACCCAAAGGAACCCGGAATCGAACCAGGGGCATCCCAAACCACCACATTTGCCGGCGGAGATACACCACAGAAAGGCAAAGCACAGCTCCCAGACAGAACCCCCAGGGAAACGATCAAAACAGACTGAAAACCGAGGGAAAAGGTGTGGGAGCAAGCATAACAGCCAGGGACACTGAGCCCATAACACTGAAAACCCCTGCGATGTGTACAATCACAGGGGCCTACCTTACCTTGAGGTTACCTTGAGGTGCTTCCGGGGCTTAGCGTCTCCGAGGCCCGGTCGTCGACCAGGCCTCCTGGTTGCTGGACTGATCAACCAGGCTGTTGGACGCGGCTGCTCGCAGCCTGACGTATGAGTCACAGCCTGGTTGATCAGGTATCCTTTGGAGGTGCTTATCCAGTTCTCTCTTGAACACTGTGAGGGGTTTGCCAGTTATGCCCCTTATGTGTAGTGGAAGCGTGTTGAACAGTCTCGGGCCTCTGATGTTGATAGCGTTCTCTATCAGAGTACCTGTTGCACCTCTGCTTTTCAACGGGAGTATTCTGCACATCCTGCCTAGCAGAGGGCCACCAAACACTACCAGTGGAATTATAACCACACTAGGCAGACCCCCACCAGGCAAACGAGAATAAAAACAAAACAACAACCCCGCAAAAATACACCGTCTCCAGAGGCAACAGGGACCAGTCGCCACTTAGCTGGCAGGTCGCGCAACAACTTGACGCCCTAACCAGTACAATACCAGTCCCTACCCAGGGCCAAACAAGGGCCCCAAGCCCCAGGTGGCTCCAAGGGCGAGGCAAATGCTGAGCAGCAAGAACCTCTATAGGAATGGTTTCCGAACGCCCTAGGGAAGATAACCCTGTTACGCAGGGGC